CAATATGTACTTGCAAAATGAAAAGGTAACTTAGTTATACCATAATATTCACAAGAAAGAGCTTGCACATTAACATGGATATGTACCTGGAAAATATACCGTACTATTAAGTTATATAATCACTAATATTTTTTCCATTGAGGAACCTGCATCCCATTATGGTTTGAAGTGGACATGCAGCATATCAAGTAATAAAGGATATTAAATGAGACGATCAATGTTGTACCATACTTTCAATCAGAAATCCAAAAGCAAATATATATATAGTAGAATGCAGCAAGAGTGTGACCATATGTATATCTATATAGAGTTGTATGCAGCAAGAGTCTTACCCTATATGTATATATATATGTAGAGTTATATGCAACAAATATATGCTAAAAAACAAAAGCAATGAACCTGAAGAAATGACTTACAAGGAATTTTTCTTTGAATAAATCAAATTCGGCAAAAACCCGTTTGGAGAAGTCGTTGAAGGCCTCCTTCAGACTCTGGACTTCGGCAGTAAGTGTGTTGAGACGGGTTATGACATCATCATCATCAGTGGTAAGTTGTGCTGTGGCGGCAGTTGGCGGAATATTTTTCCGAGTGAACTCATTTTTTTTTCTGAAGAATGAGTCCAAAAGAAGAGTCTGTTTCTCAGCTTCGGTGGGTACTATGTTATTGAACTGTGCACAATAAAGAAGAAAAATAATTAGTTAGTGCGATTGATGTAGGAATATGTTAAGAACAATATCTTTTTTTACCTTAGATTGATCAAGATTAGAAAACGTTCTCTGCACAAAACTTCGAGTACAGGGTTCCCGAACTTCCCACTTGATTATCCTCGGGATATTGTTTACACCCACGTAGGTTGCGACTACACCCTCAGCCGTGTCGCAAACCTCATAGAACCATGTCTGAAGAGCCAATATCAGACCATAGCACCGGTACAAGTTGCTTCCATCATCCTTGTCCGATATGTGCAGCTGCTCTCTGGTTTGGATTGATTTCTTCAGGTAGTGTAGGGTAAACTGAAACACAGCGGTTCCCCACGAGTAATCATCACATTCAGGACTGTCAATCATGTCAACAAAACAGCGGTCTATGCGAAGAGCATCTTGAGAGCCCATGAGGAAATTTGCTAATAAATGCAACTTAGCAAATTTCACTGCATCTTCATCGTTCGCCCACAATTTTTTCAAAAACTGCCACCTGATGTGACTCCTGCTTAACTCCACAGCATCAAAATACTTGTCGTGCAGACCACCGGCAATCTTTGGAATATTCAATTTCTTACTATGTCCAGTGCACTTCAAACCAGTCACGACAGCAAATTCCTCTATCCCAAATCGGAGGAATTTCCCTCCGAAATCGAACCAAATTTCATCAGTCCTACTCTGATGAACCTCGCGTAGGAGTATATAGTTGATGAGTTGGTTCTGTATAATGCAGTGTGGGAGATCCAAGAACTTCCCAAAGGCTGACATCCTAAAAGCTTCCAATTGCTCCTTGGTAAGCATCTTCTTGATGTCACTTATCGTGCATTTTTCCTTGCTGTTATCGTTACTGTTTTGCACCTTCACGTTTATATCCCTGGGGTGCGGGATTAGCAGTTCCCATTCCTGAAAATAATGAAAAGAAAACAATATGGATTTTGATATACATGATTATAACTTACAAATATGATACAATATGATACAACTTACAGTATTGATTGTAACTTATAATATAGGACCATATCATAAATTACAATATGTTAACACTTAAAGTATTGATTATATACTTGGTATATTTCTGTTATATATATACCATATACCTATCATACATATCATAAATTACAATATGTTAACACTTAAAGTATTGATTATATACTTGGTATATTTCTGTTATATATATACCATATACCTATCATACATATCATAAATTACAATATGTTAACACTTAAAGTATTGATTATATACTTGGTATATTTCTGTTATATATATACCATATACCTATCATACATATCATAAATTACAATATGTTAACACTTAAAGTATTGATTATATACTTGGTATATTTCTGTTATATATATACCATATACCTATCATACATATCATAAATTACAATATGTTAACACTTAAAGTATTGATTATATACTTGGTATATTTCTGTTATATATATACCTTATAGCTATCATACATATCATAAATTACAATATGTTAACACTTACAGTATTGGAAAAAATACTTGGTATATTTCTGTTATATATATACCATAAACCTGAGTAATATACCAAATTAGGAAGATAGCTGATTGATTAATATACTTATCATACCTGATTGATTAATATACTTGATTAATCATACCTAATTTATTATTATACTTGACTGAGTATATATGTGATATATATACCCAGATAACATACTTGACTCGAGTTTATTTATAATTTATAGAACCATATTATAACCTACAGTATGATTAATGTACACATCATGTTTATATACCTGTATGATTATATATTTGTTATATTCATAGTATATTTATACCAGATACTTATCATGACATGTAAAGGAAGATAAACCAGACCATATACTTAAGATATAAAAGAGCACCAGTTGGGCATTATTTATTATATATGTCATGATAAGCAAATGATGCAGATATGCAAAACCAATTAGGAAGAGTGAAAAGGAGCAACAATGTTATTTACTTGGATACTAATATACTTGTGGTATATTACAGAACAGTGTTGTTTTCAAAGGAGCATGGTATATATGTGGTATATTACAGAACAAAATATAAGATAAATATTGAAGGAAATGATATATATTCAGTTTATATGTGTGGTATATGTGACCACATATTATATGAGCTTATATTATAAAAAAACTTAAAAAATACAATAGTACTCACAAAAATTACTTGAAAATGAACAGGTAACTTAGCTATACCATATAATTTATAAGTACTTGCACATTAACATGGATAGTTGGCTAGAAAAAAATACCATACTCTAAGTTATGTGAGCAAATGATGCAGATATGCAAAACCAAATTGGAAGAGTGAAAAGGAGCAACAGTGTTATTTACTTGGAATATACACATTAACCCAAGTGATTTATATCATTTCACAATGAAAAATTGTAAAAAAATACAGTCATTTGATTCACCTGTTATATACATATGAATCTAATTCCTATATACCCCTGTTAGTGCACAGGGGTAAGATTATTAAACTCTGGGACTACATAGGACTACATAACATGCTTAGTCAAACAAAAATCAGAGGTACCCATGACGATTTATTCATTGACATACACACATTAAACTGACAAAAGGATATAGTTGATAATCAATAAACAAAATCAATAAACAAATTAATAATCTTTCAGATGAGAAATAATAATGAAAAAAATGGAATGTAGACGAAAATTTACCTTATACACTATCTGTTTCTGAACATGTTGGATACCACTTGGGACGCCGGTGTTAGTTTTTCTCTTTTTCTTGTTCTTCTGAACTGCATCTTTCTGTTGTTTTTGCCTTTTGTTGATTGTTTTCTTGACATTCTCGACCGGGGATTCTTCGTCGCTCTCCAAACCCTCGCTATCGACGTCTTCGGGTTGAATTTCATCTTCGAAGTCGGTGTCAGAAGATTTTTCATTTTCAGTGGAATTGGGGATTTTTGATTTACGTTGAAGACGAAAAGATTTTTGAGTTCTACGGTGGTCGTTGGACTGGAAGTCGTCTGAATCAGGAGATGAAATGTGCTTCTTCAATCTTGCGTTGACAGTGGGCTTTCGACTAGGTTTAGGGTTCATATTTCTGTCAAAGACGAGCTTCTTCTGCACGAGTTTGGGTTTGGATTTTGCGTGGATCTTACGAAGACGGGAACTCGATCTTATCTGTGGTGTTTCATCGTCTTCGTTCGCCGTTTTTTTTCGAGGATCTCGAGCGATTTTTGTCTTCGCCATTGGAGTATCTTCGGAAAGAGAGTTTTCCTTCTGTGCACGACGGTGAACGTGGGCGGTGGGAGTGGGCGGTTTTTTTGTTGAAAAGATATTGACTGCATTCAAAATGGCCGTAAAATCAGTAACGTTCCTTAAATATCTGATGTCTTTAATTATATGATATAATTTACTTAATTTTACTGTTTAGGTATAATAGCAAATAATTGGCCTTGTTTAGGTAATTTTACAAATATTCATAAAAGGGGTGCATAATCATAATATATTTCATATGGGGGAGTAAGGGGTGCAAATTCCTCTTTGAATTTTTATGTACAACACACATACTTGATCGATATTCAAATTGTATTGGTTAACAATATTTATATAAACTTTTAAATATGATATAAATAATAAAAATCTATTCTAATATATAAGTATATTAAATACATTTAAAAATAAATATATAAATATATTACTATATTTTAAAATTACATAAATATATTATAAAATATTACTATACATACATAAATATGTTTATTATACATAAATATATTTATATGTAATGTTTATAAAAAATTTAAAACGAAGTTTAGACCACATTGAATATATAATATTAAAGGAGTAAAACATAAATTTAAATCTGATAATAAACTGATTATTATACAAATATATAAGCAATTTAACTATTTTAATGAATCAAAATTGAATAATTATGTGTTTATTTCAATCCGACTCCTTTCCAATACAAAAAAATAATGCGAGAAAAAATCACAAAACGATTTGAGAATTGAGACCGTCATATGTTTCAAAAACGCCTATGCCAGAACACGTATATTTAAGAATTTTTGACCAATTAAATCATGCCATGTAATGCCACGCTGACCTCAAAATCAACCAGCTTCACGTTGCTGCCGATAATATTTAATGATTGACGAAAATGCCATCAACCATACGAGTTTATATTTATGTCGATTTATGATATGTTCGAAATTAATTAAACGAATTAAGGGTGTATCTGGTACTTCGTTACCAATTTGTGATGTGTGAAAGCCAAAGATGGTAAATACTAAAAACAATAAAATTTTAAAAACCAAAAACCCTGGGGCATTCATAAATAAAACTATTTAACAAAAATGTTTGAAGAACAACAAAAATACTAATAATTAACTTCGATTGATCGATCTGCAAAATTCTGAGTTCCGATTGCTGGATAATGGCCGCCCCGTTCTTTTCAACGCCTTTCCAACCTTTTGTTTACCAGGTTAGCTTTTGATCTTGTTCTATCGTGTGTGTAGAATGTTTGTGAATCTGTACGTGTTTTTTTGTATACTCTGATTTTCTGAATTGATTTTCTTTTTTTTTTTTTAAATTCTCGATTAGGGTTTTGCGTTCTGTTGTTTGATTTCTGTATCAGTGATCATTGTTTCATGTATGTTCAATGTGTTCTAAGAAACTGGAAACATTTAGAATATGGCCTGTTTGTTCTGTTTTAGCTTGAGCTGACACGATGTTGTTGAATATGTAGTTGTGAGTGATTATCTGTTTCTCCGAGGCTGTTGTTGAATTATGTGTTTTGGTGACCTAATGATCTTCGAGAAAAGCGTAGGTAGATAGATTCTGGACGTGTTTGTCATTCGGACTGTTGAATGGCTTTTTGGAAGTTAGGTTTTGTGCAAGTAAAATGTGGAGTGGATCTCATTTGTGTTGGCTATTCTCCGTGTTTGGAGTTCGTTAGTCTCCATTATTGGAGTTTTTTAGTCTCCCCTTCTGGGAGCTTGGTAGTTGTTTTAGTTTTTTGTAGGCTTTAGGCTTTAGGGTTGCCCACGTGTAGTTCTCCTAGATTCGGCTTTTATAGTTGTTTGATTCAGCGGTGTTAGTTTCGTCTAGTCTGTTTATTTTGGTTTATTATTATATCTGTCGTTTGAAAAAAAAAATAAAAATAGAGTAACTCTCACAGCGTGCAGTTGGTGCTCATATGGATGCTTTTGCACCTTATTGTGATGTTATACTCACTTAGACACATTGAAATCGGTAGATATATGTATTTTATCCATTAAATGTACAGAACCTTCAAAGATCGGTGGATGTGTGGGTTTCCCTTGTTTGAAAATCAGCAGTCAAATTAGATTTTTGGCTTGACTAGACTACAGTAGGTGCAGTGGATGCAATATAAATGAAAAATAATCTCACATTTTTATTTATTTATTTTGCTTTTATTTTTTCTCTCCCGGAATTGTTATTGGTTATAAGTTGTTTATTTGGCTTGATTAGATTAGTTAACCAAATGAATATATTTTGTCATGATAACACCTGTCATCAAAGTGATAACGGAGCTTTGGAATAGTAAATTGAAGATCATTCTACTCATAAATGTTTGACCACCCGATTCTCTAAATCTTTAAGGTTTTTTTTGTGCATCTTTTAATATCTTTAGCTGAATAGTGTCCGCGGTTTACTCAATAGCTTCTGAACTTTCTTCTGTTCCCTGAAATAGATTGCTTATAACTATGACTTGTACGAATTTTAAATATCACGTCATTGATATGTGCAATGAAGACAATAATAGTTCATTTGTTTCCATCGTATAATGAAGACAATAATAGTTCATTTGTTTCCATTGTATAATGAAGACAATCTGCAGTGTATATTTCTCGGAGGCCAGATTTATCTTCTTCTAGCTACTTGATATTCGTAATTAATGTTTATATTATCTTTCAGAGGCTTCTAATTCTGTAACGCCAAATTTTCTTTTGGCAGCTTCACGCTCATTTTGCTTCTTCTTTTTTTTTCCTTTCCATTTTCAGAGTACACAAGATGCTGTGACACCATTCCAGATTTTGGGTGGGGAAGCTCAAATAGTGCAGGTTCTTATTTAACATTCAAGACAATACTCTTTCGTTTCAGTAAATTGGGAACATGTGACCTAATTGAAACTTTTACTTCCTCTTCTTCTATGTAGATAATGTTAAAGCCACAGGAAAAGGTTATTGCGAAGCCTGGTATGCTACTAATTGATTGATTCTGATATTATCATTCTATGCTTATCTAACCTGCATAGACTACATTCAGTAACTAGAAATCTGTTGACAATCAGCATTTTTCCTTGACAAATATATAATTTCGAGTGAGAATGCGTTGTCCTTGCCTTTATGTAGTGTGGATTGGTGGTGAAAGATTTATTTCTTGAAATTTCAAAATTTTCTTAGTTGCTCGAAATTATTTTTATGTTGATTGTTGATCTTATTTTGTATACCGATTATCGAATCATGTATCCATTAAAGCTCGCTACATATTATAGAATATCTGAACTTCAACTTCAGCACTAGCTAGTTACCAATTGCAATAACAATAGTAAAACTGATATTCTGAAGATGTCAATTCTATCCTTCTTATATGTGGTTAGAATAGTAGGATTGGAGGTCCGGTGTCATTCATCTGTTCCAACATTTAACCATCAAAGTCTTCCTATATATTCTATTAGCGAGGTATTGGACCTTGATGGTTTAGTAGGTTTTGGTTGGGCCTGGGATGTGGTTTTGCCAGCAACAATTTTCCATTTCTATTTATCGACTTTTTATATGTAAGCCATACAGTTTGACTTGGAGGACTGTTACACAACTTGACCAGAAACTCCTGACTGTTAATTATTGACCAAAACAAATTCGAAAAGCAGTGCATCTGTTCAACCTGTTCTTCATCCAAGTCTCTGTTGGTCAGCGCCCATGTACCCACAACAACACTATAGGATGCTTTTACATGCAATCTGGTTTTATCTAATAAATTTAGTCATTAAGTCCTTTTGTTTAATATTTTATCTCTGTCAATAACTGCAATGAATTTTATAAGTTGACAATCTCTTCAACTATTCGTGAAAGGAATCATGAGTACTCTCTAGATTTATATTAATTGCATGGTTACCAAGTTCTTCAGATTTTTTTAAGGACAACTTTGTTTGCAACTTGTGAGTAGAAAAATACTACTCCCTCTGTCCCACAAAGTTATGCTTATGACAATTGTTAGGGAAGTAAAAGGTAAAGGTGTCCCTTCTAAATTATTATTATTATTATTATTATTATTATTATTATTATTATTATTATAATATTCCATGATTATTTTCTGTATTGTCACATAAATTAAACAAATATATTAATCAAATTTAATATTGTACATATTTTAAAGTAACATGCTTGTCTTTTGTGATGGAAGTTGTAAATATTTTTTAATTTAACCATGTCCTTTCTAAACAACATAGTGGGAAAATTGCGAATTACATCAGTAGTGTAATGCTAAAATATACTAATATGTTACCACCGATACACTTTTGACGGTAAGCTCTGGTCATATATTCTCCAGTTAATGTCCTGTATGTTTTAATTAGTCTTCTGGTTTGGATAGAGGTAGCTCAGGAAGAGTTATTCACTTTTATATGGATGTATTCCAGGTTCCATGTGCTACATGTCAGGGTCCATACAAATGGATAATGTTTATGTGCCTGAAAATGAGGCAGGTGTGTGGCAGTGGCTTTTCGGAAAGAGTGTTACTAGCATAGTTCTCCACAATACTGGTTCTAGTGATGGGTTTGTGGGGATCGCTGCACCTACTTTAGCAAAAATCCTCCCGGTGTGTTTACAAAGAATTATCGTTTATCTGGTATTTATTTCTTAATATCCAGTTTACCTATATTTCCGTTTGAATTTCTTGTGCAGATTGATTTAGCACTATTTGGGGGCGAAATGTTGTGCCAGGTACTGATAAATTAGTAAGAATTTGTTTCAGTTTGCTCTACATGGTTCTTTCATGTTTTTAATTAATTAACCTGGGGGACTATAGTATGACTTCTGCTAAAATAATGTAGCCAGATGCATTTCTTTGCTCGATAAATGATGTCAAAGTAAATAATACAGTTGATCCGAGGGCGCGCAATGTTTTGACTAGTGCTGAGGTCAGACCCTTTTAAATTCATACATTTTCTGCACTCTTACTCATCTGTTTCTGCTCCCTTTTAAACTCATTAGTTATTATATGGCTTACTTGATTTTTAGTTGATGGTGTCTTGCAGGGATTTTTGAGGCAGAAGATATCTGGTCAGGGTCTTGCATTTATTGTTGGAGGTGGTTCTGGTATGTTTCCATGGATCCAGTGCTGCTATGCAAATTATTTCTGATTTTATGGTACTGTAGCCCGCTTATTTGCACTGTGCATTAATGTGATCGACTCTATCTCCCTAAAAGACTTCACAAGGGGAGAAAATCTAACTGTTTACGGAGTATTTTTAATACTGGTTTCCTTGACGTCTATAAGTTAAGACATTTATTAAGTATTTGTCATATTAGTGTCTTCATACCAACATGTGTTTGAATATTTGGTTTTATGATGCTAAAGAATTTGATATTAAGTACCCCATCTGTGCTTCCTTTTTATTCTTGCTGAAAAACGTTTCGCAGTTTTATATCGTTGATTGTCTTATATGTAAGAAACATAGCAGAATATTTAATAATTTGAGAGATAAACACGGAGAAGTGAATAACTTTTTGTTTACTTTTTACGTGATCAAGTTTTTTTGGCGTAGGAAATCAGGATAGAGCCTTTTCAATAATCTGTGTCTAGATGCACGGGCATGCCTGAAGAACAAAATTGTGTTTCGTCAGTATTGTAATTAGGTTCACAGAAGTAACCCCATATCCTATCAGAGATCTATGTTTAAACCCACATATAATATTATTATGAACAATGTGATATTCTCTTAGGTATTTTATTGAGCATAATAGAATATATTGATTACAGAGGTCTATATCATAACCGTTACAACATAATTTTGAAGGACTTAATTGATAGAACGTGCATATTTGTTTAAGCAACTCCTTTCCTAATCAAGTTCTTGTTGTGTTCTCTCTGGTGAATGTTAGTTGTGCAGAAAAATCTTGAGGTGGGCGAAGTACTTGCAGTTGATGTCTCTAGCATAGTTGCAGTTTCATCATCACTAAATGTACAAATCAAGTATAATGGTCCAATGCGAAGAGTTGTCTTTGGGGTGAGCATTCAACTTGAATACTTGAATCATTCATTTTCACTATAATTGCTTTCATCCTTTGGTTCCTGTTGAAGTTTTTAGTGTTGGATAGAGTCATGTTATGTTTAGTTGCAGATTTGTTCCCTATTGGATGTGGTTTTATACGTAGTGGACGCAGTTTGTGATTCCCTTTGCATAATCCTAATGATATATTGCAGTATATGTACTAATAAACTTGAAGAAACATGTAGAGCGAAAGATAAAATAGAGAATGATTTTAATTATTATGAGAAAAGATAACGAGCCGCTAAGGGTATTGGATATTTTGGTTTGATTGGTTTTTTGGTTAACCAGAGTTAATTTTGAAAAAGTTGGTTGAATTAGGTTTTAATGGGATTTTTTGTTTGATGTAAATGTAGGAGAGGGGTGATTGGAAGTGATGGGTAGCTAAAATTATGTGAGTTGATGAATAGTGAATTAAAATTGATGTGATGTGTAAGAATTATTGATTGATACTAGTGTATACCCCGTGCGATGCACGGAAATAATATTAAATTAATAATATTATAAATAGACCTCGAGTTTGAGTCACTCAATGACGGAATGACGGAAGTGGAAACTACTATTGTTCCTATTTAAAAAGAGGAAGCAAAAAAAATAATTATAAATTAAAGAGGAGGATAAACAATACTTAATACTTATAAATTAAAGATTCGGGGTCAAACAATGTAAAATTATTTTGTATAAGAGAATATAAAAAAATTTGATTACACACCATTTCAAAATTATTATTATACTTTTTTGTATGGTTAGCTTATAATATTTGTAAAAATATTAGTAATTAGACCGATGAAAATTAGCTTCTTAAAGTAGATAATGGATTTCCAGTAGTAATTATGAATTGGTTTTTATTTTATTTTATTTTTTCTTTTTAAAAATAATGGATTTCTAGTAGTAATTATGAATTGATTTCTATTTTATTTTATTTTTTTAAATCTGTATAAATAAGGGATGAGATTTTTTAAACACGTGAGATCGTATGCAATGGGATTTTGTAAGAAGAGATAAGCGTGTAGATTTATACTAAAAATAGGAAAAAGAAAAACAAATATTTATTGTCAAACAACGGTTTTGATAAACTAAAAAAAATGAGCCGATTTTTTTGCCTATTCAGATTTGTCCAACAATTACTATATTAGGATATATTTAATGATTTTGGCGGGAAAAAGTTTCTAAATTTGTAAAAAGGTTATTCTTTTTAT